GCCCCGACGCCCGGCCCGGCCCCGGCCCCCCGGGACGGAGCGCCGAGCAGTCCCGGCTCCGGGCTACGGACTATGGGCGAGCAGCGCTGAGCACCGGGGGAAGGTGAGGGCGGGGGTCCGGGAGCGAGGAGCCGAGCAGGGGATGCGGGTTGGCTGGGCGGGCCTCAGTAGCCTGGTGGTGGGACCGGGGTGACAGCCCGAGGCCATCCGGCTGTGACAGAAATGGCAACGGCGAATGCCCCCTCCTCTTCTGGGGTCTGCCGTTCCCATGCAGCGGGGGCGGGGGCTGCTGCGCGCCGGGGCTGCGGGGAGCCTTGGTCTCGGTACAGCCCTGGGAGGTGGACACTACCAGCCTTGCCCGGAGTCTCTCGACCAGTAAGTGAAGGCACCGGCGTTTGAAGCTGCCAGGTTTCCCCCAAGAGACTCTCCGTCTCTCCATGCTTCCCTCCTGGTCCCGAGAGTGACTTGAAAGTTAGAACGAGTCCCCAGGGAGGGCGAGCCAGGGCTTCCATCTGGCACCATCGCTGCTGGGAAATTTCGCCTCACCTGCAGCGTTCAGGTGTGGGTCAGAGCTACCTGCTTGGCAGTGCTATGTTTGGTCGGCCTTTTCCAAAGAGGGAGCCTGCTGCGGTGGTCACTGTTTCACCTGCCATGCCGGGTCAGACCCGCCCATTCCCACGCCATTTGGTCCCACCTTCCCGCCAGTAAGTAGGGGCGTTGGGATTCCCGACTCCGCGTTCTCTGCCTACCCCCCCACTCCCTAGGTTTGATGCCAGTTTGTTGGCGGAAGGAAGAGATGACAGCCGCCTTCTGTGGCAGGATAGACTTTGCTCTGTTTTAAGTCACTGGAGGAAACCGGTTGGCTTTGCTTGGTTTTGAAAGCAGTGGGGAAGAGAGAGGGTAGTCACTCTGGGCTGGGCGCATTTCCCTCTTGGCTTAGCTTTCATGAGATAAGGAAGAGCAGAATATGTAATTGTAAGGTAAAAAGAATCCTTGTTTGTAAACAGTTCTCCTGAGCTGCTCTAATGGCCCTGCTGTGCCAGTTCTGTTGGTTAGATCTAGACAGTCTGGAGATAGCCCTCATTCATTCATTCATTCCCCATATGACAGCAGTGTCCTTGCCTAGAGAGGCAAGTACCCTATATTATACTGGTTAATACTGGGCTTTGGAGCCAGACTTTTTGAGTTCATTCTGGCTCACAGCTTTCCAGCTGTGACCTTGGGCACATTGTTTAACTTCTCTGTACCTCAGTGTTCTCGTCTCTAAAACAGGGTTGATAACAGAGTTCTTATGAATATTTGAAAGGTTAACAAATGTAAAACACATAGAACCATGTCTGCCACATAATAAGCGTTCAATAAATATTAGCTATTATTATTTCAAGAAGCTCATGGTCTGGTTAAGGGAGACTGACCTGTAAACAAATAGTTGACATGTGTTCTAAAAAAGCTAGTAGCAGCAGGTAGAGAGGGCTGTGGAAGCCCAGTGGAGACACCTGCTAGCTCAGCCTGGGTGGCAAGAGGGAAGGCTTGACGGGAGCTATGATGCTAGAGCTGCATCTAGAAGGATGGGAAGGTTTAGCCAGGGGAAATTGAAGGGGTAAGTTGTTCTACTTAAAGAGAGACAAGTAAACTCATTGTTTATTCCAAAAACCTCAGATCGTTCAGTATGGTGGTATGGAAGTCGACATGGTACAAGGTAAGGCAGTACAGGCTGACAAAGGAACAAACACCACATTAACAGTTTGTGACTTTGTGCCAAGGGCCATGGAGGGCCAGTGAAAAGGTTTTAAGCAAAGAAGTGTCATGACTGGATCTAGTTTTAGAATTATCTCCCTCGAGTCCCAGCAGAGGAGGGAAGGAAGTGAGGAGAGACTAAAGGACTGGAGACCTCTTCAGAGGCCATTGCAGGCCTCTGAGTGAAGAGAGTTGGTGCTGGGGTGGTGGAGCTTTGCTGAGGAGGTAACCAGTGGCAGATGACAAGCTCCCTACATTGCCCTGGGCTTTTCTGTCTAGCGCAGACGTACTTGGTGCATGTAGCCCTCTCTTCCTGAGCTTACAGGTTGCTTGACCAGCCAAGGAGTTAAGGCTGCCCTCTCAGAAGGCCAGTTGTAGGGGGTGCTGTATGTGTTCCCTTCTACATTTAATTTGACCTTTTGTGAAGACAGCAGATTGTAATGGTTAAGAGCCTTCTTGGCTCTACAGTCAGACAGAACTGGGTTCTAATCCCAGCCCTCTGGTCATTAGAGGTTATTTATTCTCTCCAGGCCCAGCTTTCTCATCTGTGAAATGGAGACAGTCGGAGCCCCTCCCTAGTAGAGCAGTTGTGAGGATTAAGTAAAATGTAGCAGGTTGAGCATTTAGCACACACCGAGTAAGAAATGCTTAAAAGTGTTAGCTGTCATTACAGACTACAGGAAAGAACTTCCAAGAATTAGTTGATGTGATTAGTGGCAACTAGAACTGTGTCCCATTGAGCTGTCAGAAGTATCCTGAGGGATCACAAGATCACAGAATTTTATTGTATTCTTTCTGAAAAGGAAATCTGTAGGGAGTTTACCCAGTCTGTATGGGAGCCATTTGGATGATTCAGCTCAGCTCTTTAAAAGAGCCATTTTTTTAAAAATAGAAGTAGGACTGCTGAGGAAAAATATTCTATCTTAAAGTACAAGAAAGAGTATTTAGAATTTTTTCCATGTATGTCCCTTTTAGTGACCCTAGTCTAGTGTCTGAATTAGTATCATCAGGAAGCGTTTCATACATTGATGTGTGTGGTGGCACAAAATCCAGAACTTGAATTCCACACACACAGCTCCCACGTATGGCTGGGGATGTGGTAGATACTGGGGGCAGAAGGAGAATGGAGAGGTAGGCAGCAGGGATGGGACAGGCTCCTAACCAATGAACACTTGCATGGAGTTTGACAAGTTTCTCACAGAAGTCAGTACAGCTTGTGGGAACCCGGAGGAAGGAGTGATTCCCCTGGAGAATGAGGAGATTGGGGAGAACTCTGGAGAGCCCTTAAAGCTAAAACTGGATCTCGAAAGGTGAATAGAGTTTTCTGAGGTCTCAGAAAGCAGTCTAGGCAGGGGAGCAGCATGGCGCAGGCATGGATGCGTGCTGGTGTGTGTGCACTTTGGGAATCACAAGAGGTTCTAACACAGGATGCGAAGGGACCTGGCTGTAGGACATGCTGCAGGGTTAAGCACCAGTGCTAAAATGCTTGAACTACTAATTCTCTTGGTGATGGGATGTTTTGTTTTAAGTGAAGGAAACATTAGACCTGCATCTTTCTAGGAGTCCTCTGGCTGTGAGTAGAAGATGGACTGGGGAGAGAGTGTCTGGAGTCCCTGTGGGAGGCTGTTGCAGTAATCAAAGCAAGGGCTAGAACGGGCCTGGATTAGGGCAGAGATCAGAGCTGTTTCGGGGAAATCATCCGGACTCTGAGAGTGTTTGAAAGTGACGATTAAGGAAAGAGCAACCGTGGCAGGTGCTCTTAGGGTTTCTGTTTTGGGTGACAGAATGAATGATAGTGCAGAGATGGGATGGCTTGGGAGAAGACAATGGCCAGTGAAATCTGCCAGGTCCATTCAGTAAGCCCTGAGCACACCCTCGTGGGATAGGGTCATCTGTGAAGTCTGTGGCTCCTTGTCTGGCTTTGAGCCAGGCTTCCCTCTGGTTTTGCCTGAGTCAGCACCTGGGCAGTTTCCCTTCCTTCACCTTTCCTCCTGTCCAAATTTGCTCAGAGGTAAACTTCTTCAGTATTTCAAAACCCAAGTGGATGAGTCTGAAAAACTCCCATAATTTTTGCAGCCTTCAAGTGGCCCTAAAGAGCAGCCCTTCAATCTAGCACTCTCCACAGATTCAGCAAGTGACAGACTGGTGGGGTCTTGGACAGCAGCTACCCTCAGGGGAGAGATGGCTT